AAAAAAAAAAAAAAACGACCTCTACTTTGATGACTTCCTTATACTTAATTATGAGGATTTAGTTATATGTCATTTTAAAATCTGAGTGCATCTCTCTACAGAATATTTGATGTTATATTGATCATGTTCATTGAAAGTACTCAAGGAAAAAATAGAGCAATTAAAATCCATTTAATTGATTTAAATAGGTAAAATTTAAGACCATATAAATAAAATGAAATTATGAAATATTAAGCATAGTATAAAAAACAGAATTGTGAATTAGGAGACCTGACTCCTTTTTTTTAAACAACTTTATCAACATATTATTCACGTGCCATAAAATTTACCTAGTTAGAGTGTACAATTCAGTGACTTCTAGCATATTCACAGTTATGCAACCATCTCTGTAATCAATTTTAGAACATTCATCACCCCAAAAAGAACCCCCCCACACTCATTAACAGTCACCCTCTATTATCCCATCCCCACTGGCCCTAGGCAAGTGTTAATCTACAAGTAAAAATAATTAATATTATTTATTTGGATATTTTATATAAAGGGAATCATACATATATGGTCTTTTGTGACTTGTTTGATCCATTTATGTGTTTGAAAGGTTGATCTGTGTTGTAGCACATATCAGTATTTCATTCCTTTTTAATGTCAAATAATATTCCGTTGTATGAACATAGCACATTTTATTTATGCATTTATCAGTGGATGGACATATGGTTTATTTTTGTTGTGTTTTTTTTTTCATTCTACACTTTAGCAGAGCAGAGGAAATCTGGGTTGTTTCTAGTTTTTGGCTGAATTTTTTCCCAATTTTATTTAAAAATAACCAATTTACAGATCCAAAAAACCCAAACCCCAAGCTGGGTAAATTCAAAGAGACCATATCATAGTCAAATTGCTGAAAAAGAAAGATAAAAAAGGTTGGGCATTGTGGTTCATTCCTGTAATCCTAGCACTTTGGGAGGCTGAGGCAAGAGGATCACCTGAGCCTAGGAGTTTGAGGTTGCAGGGAGCTGTGATGATGCCACTGCACTCTAGCCCAGGTAATGACTAAAAAAAAAAAAAAATTAAACAGCTGGAGAAAAAAATATATATACGGGGAAATATATATAGTACGAATGACAGCAGACTTTGCATCATGAACAGTGGAAGCCAGGCAACAATGGAACAATATCCTTTAAATGCTAAAAAGAGGGTAAACAAATTTTAAAAACCTGTCACCCAGATTCTGTATCTAGCTAAAATATCCTTTAAAAATGAAAATAGAGTAAGACATTTTATTCATCACAAGTAGACCTGCAACACAAGAAATGCTAAAAGAAGTTCCATAGGTTGAAGAGGTAGACTACTAAGTGGAAACTCAAACCTACAGTAAGAATTTAAACACACTGGAAATGGTAAATATTTGGGTAA